GGCAAAACTGGGGGGTCCTCAGCCTAGGTGAAGGCAGGGCAGAGAAAGAGAGCAGGAGCCCTAGATGACTAGGTCCTGGGTATCCCCCCACCCCCATCATAGTCCTAATCATGCTCCTGCCAGTCCTAATTAACCCAAGGGATTCTGCCTCCCCATCCTGGTCCCAGTCACAACCTCAGAGTCCTACACCCTCCCCACTCTGGGGTCTTGGCCCTCCCAACCAATCCCCTGAAGGTCTTCTTTCCCAGCAATGTCCCCTCCCCAGGACCTAAATCCCCTGTTCTCCATTGCTTAGCTCTTTCCCCAGCCCAACAGCCTCACCGAAGTGTGTGACCAGTAGGAGTAATCGAAAGTGAAGCTTTTGGGGGCATCCTTGCTCTGTTTGGGGTTGATGATGGCTGAGAGGGCAAAGGAAAGCAGGCCAAAGTCAGGTACTCACAACCTCTGCCCAGTCCCCATAAGCCGCCAGAATCCAGGCATCCCACTCCCCACCTCCATCCTAGTGCATCTCTCCCCTTTAATGTTCCCCACCCCCTCCAGTCACCAAAGCTAATTTTGGCTTCCCAGGGCCCGCCCCTCACCGGGCTGCCTCCCTGGATTGGGCAATGGAGGGCTCCAGGCCAACATTCCCCCTCCCAAGGACTGGGAGCATGGAAAGGCCAGCCTGTCCCAGCCCCCGCCCTCCCAACTAACACCTGCTCTGTGCCCAGCACAGCCCTCCTCCTGGTTCGGCCCCGCAGGACTGGCCTGTGTGGTGGGCCCGGCTGCCCTGCCTGTGCCCAGCCGGGCCCCTGGGACTCACTCACAGGTGGTGCTGCCCTGCATGCTGACCACACACTTGGCATCCTGGCTGGTCTCTCGGGCGTTGAAGGGCCGAACCCTCACTGCCACTTTCACTGAGGCACCAGCCATGGCTTCCAGATACTACCCCCTCCTCAGCTGGAGGACAGAGACAGAAGAGGTGGTCAGAGCCGCTGCGGGGACCCAGACATTGCCTCCCAGCCTCTCCCTGGAACCGGTCTCTCCATCCCCCTCCCCCAGCTATCCAGCCCCTAAAGGACCCAGTTTCTGTTCCCTTGGCCTGCCTCCCCAATGTCACTCTCCTCAGGGACTCTCAAAGGTGTTCCTGCCTCTCTCCCCAGCCATATCCCAGCTCACAGAGAGCTGGGCTGTCACCCCGGAGTTACCTGGTGTCCTGGCCCCAGATCAGGGGGGCTGTATCAGTTCTGGCTGCCACCGGCCCTCGTAGGAGGAGCCCCATCCTACACTTGGGGCCTGGCCACGCCAGCTGGGGCTGTGGGGGAAACCCTGGTTGTGGGGGAAGAGTGGTTAGGAGGCACCTGCAGCTCCAGAGGTGTGTCTGGGGTTCCAGGGTTGGAGGGCAACAGGTAAGGGGTGATGCTAGGAAAGGTAAGGACAGCTGGACCTCTGGAGTGGCCAAACGCAATGTGAATCCAAGGGCAGGGACGGTGATATTTTTATTCCTCGTCACTCACAAGTGTACTGAACATTCAGATAGAGAAGAGAGAGAGGCTGGACAGAGGGCAATTCAGAAAGAGGGACACATGGGCAGACACTGAGGGTGGTGGGAAGGGGGAGAAAAGAGTGAGAGAGACAAGAGAGAAGGCAAGATTAAGGTCATACTATGAAGAAAATAATGGGAAAAGTGAAGGAGAGACCCAGAGGACAGCAAACAGAAATGTTCAACAGGCAGGGGAAAAGCACAAATTGGGAGCCCCGAAGAGAAATGAGAGGACAGAAAATCGCAGACAAAAGACCTGCCCTAAAATTCCCCCACAGGGTCAGCCAGGGAGAAAGAGAAACCAGCTCCCACCTAGAGACCACAACCTCCACAGAGGGAGGGATTGCGGATGGGCAAAGTCTAGGGGATGGAGGTACAGCCCAGAACTGGGATCCACAGGGCCTGCCTGTAAGCCCCAAACCCCTTGCCCAGCCCCCAACACTTCCTCCTCAGGAGTCAGGACAATGGGCAGGAGAGGGTGGGGTCATCCTGTAACCATCATACCAACCCCAGGGCTCTATTGGAGAATTCAGAATATCTGTGTTCAAGTGGAGGGAGGGTAGGTAGCATTAGGGTCCCCCAGAAAGGGGAGAGAAGGGAAAAGGAAGCAGGCAGGTCCCAGCTCCAGCCTGGGGCTAGGGCTATGGCGTCCACTGCCCTGGGGAAGGTGCCAGGCTGGAGCCCAGGAATGTGGGTGATCGGGTGCCCACACCCTGAAAGGAGAGGCTGAGCAACCCACGCCTACGGAGAGCAGGGTGGAGGGTTGTGAAGAGAGATCAGGGATGTTGGGCCCTCTTCTGTGGCCCCAAAGGATCTCAGACCTCTGTGATGCTGGGCCTCCCCTCACCAGCCTTTCTGGCCAGGGCATGGGAGGGGTGAGAGGGCTAGTCTGTCCCAGGACAGGAAGGGAGTAGATGAAACCACAAACGCTGTTCCAGAAAGAACAGCCCTGACTCCCGGACCCTGACCAGGGGAGGGAAGGGACCCTGATGGGGACACGCGATGATGACGCCGTCGCGACTAATGGGACAGAGAATGGGGTGACACTGCTGGGGGATGGCGAGGGAAAGAACTAGGGGAGAGGTACAGGGGTCAACCGGTGCAGCGTAAAGGAGCAGTGGGGTTCAGGGAGGAGCTCGCGGCTGGGGTCAGGCCGAATGACCCAAAAGGGGGCCTCAGGCCACCTGTACCATGTCCGCCTGCCAGTTTTCACACAGGCCCTGTTCCGGCCTTTCTGGGCGGCCATGCGGACCCTATCCTCCTGTCCAGCCAACCGATAGCCGCCTGGGGCCTGGCACCTCTCTGTGCCTCCGCGGGACAAATAGCACATGATCCTGGCTCTTGCGGCCAGCCGGCCCCCGCCGGACGGTGCGAACCGGGACCCCGGCTCCCCGCCCCCTAGCCCGGCACATTCCTCCGCGGGCGTCCCCTCCCTCACCCCCCTCTCCGCCAGCTCTCACCTCGTCGCGGCGGAGCTCCCGGAGCGGCTGGCAGAGTGCTAAGGGACAACTTTCCGAGTAGTTTGAGACGGGAGTGGGGACGATCCAGAGCCGGTTCGGGGCTGCCCCCGCCCC